GAACCGAACTTTAAAGAGTCATTTATCCACTGAAAACATTTGTTGTACAGCAAATATAATCAAATTTACATGTGAACCGATCATCACGACAACACACAGTGTTAATCTGACTCTCAGGAACACACACACACACACACACACACACACCACCACCACCACGTTTCCCAAAGGATGCTGTCAAGTAGGACACGACTCCTCCGGTTTCTCTCTTCAGATCGAGTGCTCATAATGGTTCTCTAAAAAAAGAAACTGCTGTTGTGGACCGGCGCTCGAATGGCCCCCTAAAGCCCACTCGACCGCCTGAGCTACACGACTAAAATGTGGCGTCGCGAATAGTGACACAGCAGAGAAGAAGGCGGAGTTCAGAAAAGCTGCAGGTCTTCGTTGTTGGGGAAATCTCCGTCAGCCGGTTCAGACTGAGACGTAAAACATGAAGATGAGAAGTTTGGGTTTTGATTCTAAAATGTTTTACTGATGAATAAAAGAAATCAGCATCCTTTCTGCACTTCTCCACGTTCAACTCTTACCGAGTTACTTAAATACAAACAACTAACGTCTGTAAATGACAGGATTCAGGAATAAAAAGGTCTGAAAATCTTTTTCACCCACTTATTAGTCACCAGACCTCAGACAAGATTCACAAACACCTCAGACGCTTCAGGAGAAAAGCATTTCCTCGATTCGAAAACCAAGATTTACTGATGCACCGATTCTGTTTGAAGAGCCAATACCGATTCTTCTACAAGGCTAGCCAGTTAACCTGGAAGTTAGGAGTAAACCCGTTTTATGGGAGATCGGTTATCGCTAGCGATTAGCAGTGGTGAAAAGGTTTAATTGCTTTATTTCTACTGGAAAACGATGCGTTCACAATCCAAAAAAAACACTGGATCTTTGAGTTACAGTTCCATGCTGTAGTTCTTTTTTAAAACACACAGCAGTGTTGTTTACCTGTTTTCCCGCTACGTTTCGTTTGCGGCTGCAGCCCTTCTGGTTAGGGCAAGAAGAACACACCTAAGATGTTTGAGTTACAGCTTTGAGATCAAAGCCAGCTGCAATCATCCAGCATTTCTGGTGCGTCTCTATAAATGTTTAACCGCTGCAGCTCTGAGACGCTCGTTTAGGTTAAAAACTCTCTACTCTGCACTTTTCAGTTTCAAAACCGATCCTGACAGTTTTAATGCATTTGAAAAAATCACCAGAGTGAAATACTGAAATCGTGTGACCGGCTGTGGGTCAGTATGTGGCCGATACTGACTTCCAATCAACAACACCGTTATTTCTATATGAGAGATGACGCTTTAGCCGCGTCCCAGACACGCTGCTTTACACCCGTCTGGTGAGAGATGCTGGACGAGGTCGATAAAAAAAACTCATGTGGTTTGATTTGAGACTTTATCGCTCTCCCTTCCACCTAAACTTGGTGTCTTACTCCAGAACTCCCGCAGGTTTTTCCTGTTTTATTTGGACATTTTTCCAGCAGCAGAGAGAAAAAGACGGAAACCATAACTGACGTGGATTTTCCTGCTCTTTCTGCCTGTAGCCGGAAGGAGGAGAGAACCGGAATATTCTCCACAGTGATGATCTCATCACAGGAGTCGGCTGACGTTCTGGATGGTGCAGAGGTTCATCCCTAACATTAATGATCACTGACTTGTCTGAGATATCACTAGACTGCTTGGGATTGAGCAAAAACATGACTTTTAAGGTTTATCCGAATAACAAAGCAAAGGAGTGAGTAAAAGTAACTTTAGCCATTTTAAACCTAATAATAATTTTATATATTAACTTATTTGAACTATTTATGATTAATAAAACAACTATATAACAATACGTTTCATTTTCTCTATAGTTGTAGAACAACATAACAGTGATAATGAAATAAAACGGGCCCTCGCCACCTGTTGATCCTCCACCAGAGGGCAGTAGAGATGACCATCTGGATGCTTTAAGGCCAGAAGGTCAGCAGAGGTTAACGGTCAGCAGCTTTAAAGGGACTTTATGGAGTTTTGAATTTTTATGCTCGCGAGTGCCCCCTCAGGCCAAAAGCGTAACGGCAGCTTCAATAGTAGGCTCGTGCACGAGGCGCGCATGCATGCACACTCCTTAACGAAAATAACAGCTGAGACAGTCCCTTGTGTGTGTGTGTGTGTGGGGGGGGGGGGGGGGGGGCAGAGGACAGAGGACAGGAGAACACGCAGCTAATGAATTAAATAATTTGGTTCTGTACCTTTCTCTTCAGCACAGCCGACAAAGGTTTATGATGGGTCAGTCCTCCTGCATGCTCAGATCATTCCCTTCCCTTGCTTGAAAAATTGTTCCAAAATGAAAGTTGAACCCACATCTTTTTTATCTGTGAATTCAATGCCATTCAGCAAGTCTCAAATAAAAATTTGGGCATCTTACTGTAAAAAAATATACCATTAATGTAAAAAAAGAAACTCTAAATAAACTATGTTCACATCCAGAATCGAACCCAGGTCTTCTACATGGGACTCAGACATCTTACAAGGTGAGCTAAAGCACCAGTTTCATTAGATGTATCTGTAACATTTATATCCTTGATGACAGCTGAAACAACGTCAAACCAAAGAACGGTTCGGAGTGAAAATGGCTATTTTGTTGCTAATTAGCAGGAAATATCTAGAAGAAAGTTCTACAGAAAGTAGCTAAGGGTCCTCAGAAATGTAGCTAGCTTTGTCACTAGGCGTTAGGAACAGCGACAAAGTGGCACTGCCTCTCTCTCTGCTGCTAAAGCTACGGATAGCAAATGCTACGGGCGATGCCTGAGCGTGAACGCGCATGAAGCAGCCTGCTCGACCCGAGCATCTCTCTTTTTCTGTGATTTTACAGAAAAACAGGCAATCACAGTAAAAATGCCAGGGCTCATTCTACAGGACCAGGGCATTGCAGGAGAACGTATGAAGAAGACATTTATTATTTCTATACATGTTTTGGCGGTCAGACTTACATAATGCACCTTTAATTGTACCATTTACTTCAATGGCTGTGAAAGTCACAAGTTTTAACCACTTTCAGGCTTGCTTATTGTTCCTTGGCTGTGGCGGCCATGTTGGATCCTCTCCAGGGGGTTTTGCTCTCCTCTTTGGTAGCGAGCTCACGTCAGCTGTGCTGCAGCTCTGCTCTCGGCTCGATGACGTGAATTACATCACATCACTGGCCCCAAATAAAACTATTAACTCGCATCGTCAGCTGGAGACTTTAATCCGAAGGCCTTGTGGAGCCGACCCGTGACCCGGGCTTGACGGTATTAATAATTCACACTTAGCTGCATTGTTCTTGCTTTGAAGTCCCGCAGACCCTCCAGAACTAAAAGGACAACGAAGTCCGCGCTCGACGAAATAAACCCTAAATATAGTTTTGTAATTGAAGAAACGGCCGAGCCGTCGTGCGGTCTGGAGGTTCTGTGAGTCACTCTTCTGCACATCTCCGTCTGGATCTACGGCTTTTTAAGAACATTTCCTCAGAGTCAAGCGTTAGACGGACGAACATCTTCAATCTAACGGAGTAAAAACCCAGACGGAAGATCCGATAATGAAATAAAACAAAAACTACATTCAGGGTTAATGAAAGGCTCCCATCACAGCAGACACCATGAAAACTCCAACATTAGTATTCCACGTTCATTTCACACCCCAGGAGTCTCTTCTCATGAGGTGTTTTAATACGGATTAAAAATAAATAAATGAAATTTAAAAACAGCAGATCTTCTGTTCCTTAGATTTTTATTTAACCTGGAAGGAAGTTTTTAAATTAGAATAAATTTGTTGTAAAATGATCACTGTTGGGTAAACCTGAGGGAAATCATTCATTCAAAGTGATATTTCAGCATTCTGAAGTAGTTCTGTTAAATGTCTTTCTGAGCAGCCTCAGTTCAGAGAAATAGTGTACATCCTTTAGGACTGATGAGCTAACGGCTAGGGCGAGTGGAGGATAAAGTGTCTTAAAACGGCTCCACAAGCGTACACATTTCATCAAAGTTTGTTGTTTTGCAAACATTTATAAATCCTCTTATTTCCATTAGAAAAATATGTTTTTACGCAAACAGGAACAGCTGATCGTCACACACAAGGAAACAAAAAGTATGGTTCGCTTCTATAACTGTCGCACTGAAATATCAACAAACACTGAAGGATTTTCAAAATAAATTTGACAGAAACGCTTTAGCGAGGCTGAAATCTCGTAAATGTTCGCGTTTTCTCGTCGTGTTTTACTCTTTTGACACTAAGAAACTCGTCTAACGTATCTAAACCTCCTCTGTGTCAGAAAAACATCCCGAAAAACTTTTGTAACATGTCTGAGTTTTAAGTTCGCTCCTCAGCTCCGGCTCGTAGGAACCCAGAGGAACCGGCGTGTCTCCATCCGGACTCAGTTCCGTTTTGAGAGAATAAAAGGTGATTCCCTGTGTTCATCTTCTCAGTGATGGTTGTTCCTTCTGTTTTGGGTCTTTCTGGGAGGACTTGGGCTCTCTGAGCGGGACACGCAGCTCTTGGGCAGCTGTCCCCCTGCGGACTCTGTTGGCTTGTTGCTTCTCGCCCCGCACCAGCAGGCTCCACTTTCCTCTGATATAAATAGATAACGACGCTAACAGATGCACCAGCCGCTGTCTATCTTTCTGCTTTATTTTTAAATCGAGAAGATTCTGGAAATGACGTGAAATATCTTCAGCTTTCCACTGTGAACGATGTGGCTGGCTGATGCCGGATGGAGACTGTGAGCTGACAGGAGGTGAAGTTTAACCAGAGCAGCTAAAAAGCGGGTCAGGGCACAGCAGAAATAGACAACTATTTACAGGACCAGGACCGATTCTGCAAAAGACCAAAACGGACCCGGCTGAAGGAACGTGAAGAAGCAGGAGAGCCGAGGCTGAAGGGGGTCGGACCGAGGTGTGATGATTAAAAACGAAGGGGTTCCTGTCTAACTCTGAGTGATTCTGCAGCAACCAGAGCAGATCGATCCCATCGGACAGGAAAAGTACTCACCGTTCGCAGGAACTGGATCTCCTCTTCTCCCTCTCCTCCTTCTGCCATCTTCCTCCGAGGGTTATTCGCAGCTCCTCGAGAGAAAAGAGAAAATCCTGATCTCTCCCTTCAGGATCTGGGATTTTACCTCCTCGCCTGCCGCCGTACTCCTCTGTTACACTCTTTCACTCTCAGTGTGCGTGTGTGTGTGTGTGTGAGTGTGTGTGTGGGTGTGCTGGATGGGAGGACAGCATGAGTCCTCTGCTCTCACCAGGCTACGAGAGAGAGTGACAGGAGGATACCCCCCCACCCACCTCCCCTCTCCTCGGATCCCCCAGATGGGAGGCGGGCAGAGGGAGGGAGGGAGGAGGAGCAGGCACCTTGTTACACATTTCCATCCCGTCACACGGAGGCGGCCATGTCTGCCGAAGTGGGCCGCTCTTATACCCCCCATCAAGTGTGAGGCTATAAAAGGAAAGAGGGGTGAGGACTCGCCTTCGGGGAAAACACACACACGCACACACACACGCACAGATCTCATCTGAGTGGTTTGAGCTCATGTTTGTGGTTTTATTCCACTACCTGGCTTCGCTGCAGTATCGGGAGCTGCTCGCCCCCTGCTGGCGGCGGTTGGCTACAGCAACTTAACCCCACAATAACTTAAGTCTAATTTATTCTTCTGCGTCTGCGTACGGACGCGCGCAACACCATTATCCGTCCTTTCGAGGGCTCTCCAGCAGGCTCATAAGGACAGACAGAATCTAGCTCTTTGTTCTAAACATTCGTCCAACGAGACAGAGAACGCCAGCTTGTGATTGGTCAGGACGCTGCAGTCGTCTACAGCGCCGCCATTGCGCCTTCAAAAACATAAAGAGAGCCAAAGATACGGGGGAGATTGAAGGATACCTCACAGACAAACTCAAGAAATATGAACGTTTTATTCCCCCGTGACTGGAGGAGTGAAAAGATGCACAGCTAACATTTTATTTGTGGCCGGAAATGACCGGAAACGTGGGTTTAGAGGTGGCGAGCGCATGAAGAGGTGGAGGAGAATGAGGGACAAATTTGTGTTTAAAAGTCTCTGAAATACAAAAAGACCCCACAATAGTAAACACACCATCTTGGACCGGATACATGACAGGATACCACAGGACAGCACTACGCCCTCTGCTGTCCCGGAGGGGAATTGCTGTGCGAGACGGAGAAGCCCGAGAGCAGAACGTCTCCGTCTGTGCGTGTCTCTCCCTCATGGAGCAGACGGAGACGTGTATACTAGGCTTGCGGCTACGTTTCAGAGTTTTGGCATAAATAATTTCAACGATTAATGTAAAAGTCACCAAAACAGACTTCTTCTGTATCTGATCTGAAGATGGTTTTAAAAGGTGGAGGATGGTTTGCGTCTTTGTGGATCAGAGCTGCAGACTCTGGAGGGACTATAGAGACACGAGTGGCCCCTGAGACCCCGGCCCCTCACCTCAACCTGCTAAACATCTAAAAACGTAAATATATTTTATTACCAAAACGCCTTTTACTGCAAACTGTCGTCTCTTCTGATACCGCAGCAGCAGGGCTGGCCGATGTGGCCTAAAACCATCATCACGATATATTGAGGATTTTACCTCGATAGCGATAAATGGACGATAACTACAGGTGTGCGCAGAAACAAAAGTTGTCCACTAGATGGGGCTGTCACATAGGTGGTACAGCTTCTTAAAGGGACAAGAACGCTAAATTTTGGATTCATTGCCCAGCCCTAGGCAGCAGTTTTATCTTCTGCAGGCAGAAATGAAGGCTCCCCTGAACTCTTCACTAAGGTCCTTTGTTCTCCATCAAAGTCAGTTTTCTTTACCAGTTACAGGAAGAAACAGCAAAGCTTGTTATTAGTGGCACAAACTGGGAGCCGTCTCTGATTATAAATAACCTGAACATTAGTGGTCCTGATGAGAGCATCCTGCTGCTGTAGTGAAGAATCGGGTTTAGTAAACCATTAAAGATCCAGTTTGGTGCTTCCTGACTGATTCTCAGACACAAACTTGGATCTTGTGCCTAAAGACTGTATTTAGTCTGCTTTGACCGCTTGCACCTGTTGTATATGAGAACAGCCTTTTTCTGTTTTACTGTTTTTACCTAACCTGTCTGTTGCTCTTTGGTGTAAAGCTAGTTATGTTGCCGCTGCCTTTTGATCACCATCATGAATGAGAGTGGCTTCCCAATGGACTAAAATCATTTAGACAACAACAGGAAGTCTCACACCTACAGCTGTGACGCCCTCCCACGAGGTCAGGTGGAGGCAGTGCATCTTAAAGAAAATACATTTTGATTATTATTTTTATTCCAGATTTTCTATTTTTATAAATAAAACTTAAATGTTCATGAATTTGAAAGTACTCTGATTACTTTTGACCCACAACTCCACTAACATGGGTGTTGTTTTAAATATAAACTGACATTCACCAACAATAACAGATAAAACAATCATTTTAAAACAGCGCAGCGCTACAACTCCTCCAGAGCTGAAGGGAAACAGCTGAATGTCTGCAGTCATCAGACATGTAGGGGAAAGGCCTGGGAGCTGAAACATGGAGCTGTCCTGTCTGGAGGAGCAGAGTAGCAACACACGCCTCAGAACCGGGTCAGAACACACACACACACACACACACTTACCTTCCCAGGCTCCATATGGTCTCCATCTCCGGCTGCAGCCGCACAAGCTCCGACCCAATCCAGAGACAAATCCGAACCGAGGAGAAAAGGAGGAGTCGGAACTGACGTGAACTCTGGGAGTTTGAGTCCAGCAGGTTCGGAGCCAACGTACCGGGGACCGGGTTCTGTTTCTGCCAACTCACGAATCCACCTGCCCTTCCTGCCTTCAGCTCCGCCGCCAGGGGGCGACGTTGCCCCGGAAATGCGAGCCAGGCTCGGCTCGAGCCAAAAACACAGAGTGGTCAACTAAAAGAGTGTAACTCTGGGGCTAAAACCAAACAAAGCCTCGCAAAATAATGTGACTGGGCTTCAAACCTGAGTCATTAATGTTCCTGTTGGTTCAGAGCAAAACAACAAAAACTAACCTCATTAACCACTGGGAGGATTTCAATAAAAACTCAGAAAGTAATAAGTGTTTACTAAGTTTTGGAGTCAGCTAGCTCACATTAGCGATGGCTACAACTACGTCAGTGTTCCAGATAAATGACTAGAATTTGGAGTCATGTCCAACCCCAATAGCATACTTTTTCTAAAACAAGGGCAGTAATTTCAGGAATCTACTGTTGTTTAACAAAAAGGTTTAATAACGTAAAACTAGCTAATTACCTTTGAGATCAGTATCATTCAAGATGGAAGCCACAGCTAACTGACATTAGCAAACACAAAAAAGTCGGTTTTACAGAATTATGTCTAAAATTTTATTTCATATAATCTAATGCCATCCCTCTTCGGAGTTAACTGTTGGAATCAGCCTCGTCGTTTTTCACGGCAGGATTTTATAACTGTCAGATGACAGACCCCACAGTTTTGGTTCTACGGTGGGTGGAGTGTGTGAACACTGTAAAAACACACACACAGATTTCCCACATGGACATTGTTGGTCAGATGGTAACAAAAGCCTCTCCAGATCAAACGTAGAGTAAACAAACATGGTGGAGGTGGGGAGTGCAGCATGCTTGTCATTTTAGCTTCTAATTGGCTTCAGGACACATTCCAGTTAGCATGCTCCTTTGATTTTGGACCAAGATTACCTTACATGTTTAATATCCCACATTTATGACCGGAGCAGAACAGACATTCTTAGATCAGACTAGAGCGCTGTTGACACACGTCACATGGCAGGAATATCTGATAAGACTATCTTTAGACAGTAATCTAATGCATCTTCTAGACAGTACGGTAATTGAATGCATTCTCTTGATTGTCAAAAATCTACATCTTGTCACCCGAATGAGGTCTTAGCAAAAATGATTAAATTTTTACAAATGAATAACTTTCAGAGTTAGTTTGATTCGAGATGTCCGCCACAGCTAATGACGTTAGCACACACACTGAGGCAATTCTGTCATTTTAATTGGGCTAAATTATGGGATGTGAGTATTGTATTTAGTAAAGTTATTTTCAGGATTCCCCCACAAAGATGATCTTGATTTAAAAGTTTGGAATGAAAGGCTGCAGATGATTCCTTCAAGGAAAGATGGGACATCCATTTGGCTACTGAAGCGGTCAGAAGCACACATGGAGGTAATTTACGGCTAGATTCAGTATTTTTTAAGTTGAATTGTTCCCATGTCCTTTTGTCAAATGTGCTCACCAGCTCATCTGACCTTAACACTTCCTGTTTTAATGAACTATTGCTTAAGATTACAGTGAGAGTACCAAATTATCAGGAAACAGTTTTTTTAATCTAGTGTTTTCTGTCAGAATCTTTCACGGCTTTTTCAACCAAAGCAGATCCGTTTCTAGACTTCAGCGTTCAGGAGCTCTCTGGATTTCTGTGCATCCTTCTTTTGACATTCCTCATCACACACTCACACTCATCAGCTTCCTGCACCAGAGAAGCCACCTCTGCAGGCATTTGGAGGGGTGGTGGGGGACATTACCGTCCCCTGTGTGGCCGTCTCTCCCCTTTCGGTGTGATAAAACAAGGATTTCTTTGAGTCTTCTCGTCCAGCTGCACGGTCACATTCACCAGCAAAAACACTACCTCCCTGTGTGATCTCCAGCTCCCCTGAGAAACGACTGATAGGGTTTTATAAAACAGGAGAAGACAAGTGGGGTGATGGGGATGTTCTGTGGATGCTGAGATCCAGACAGAAAGCACAGCTCCTGGTTCTGCTAGCCAGAGTAAGACGATCTTATAAAGCAGAGCGGTTGAAGGAGGGCCTGCTGATGTTCTGTGTCACCTCCTGATGGAGCTCATATGATTGCTCATCACTATCTCTCTCAGCTCGCCACCTCCTTCCTCTCTTGGTGTTGCATTTGTGTTAGCTACTCTCGGTCTCCCCTCCCCCTTGCACACATACACATTCACACACATGCGTGTGCACACAAACAGAAACTGGTGTGAGTTCCCCTATCGAGCAGAGCCAGTTCCTCCATCTAAGATGCTGACTTGTTTATGCTGAGGGGGACGAGCGTTTGACTTCTGCCAGCCCTTGCATTGCACCCAGAGTCAGTTGGAGGCATCATCTCTTAACTCTGCTTTGTTGCAGGAAGTGGCAGCATGAGGTCTGCTCTCTTGCTGAACTGTGGTTGATAAAAGTCTTCAGACAGGAGAGGGACAGGAGGTCTAGCTGACACACCAGGTGACAGAACAGTGCTCGGCTGTGGAGTTCAGTGGATGACTGGTACGTGGGCAGCCCTCATCCCCCAGCAGCTCCCCATCGCTGTCGCCCGCTCTCGCCATCCCGGGCGCGTAAACATACAAGAGGACACAGAGGAGGAGCAGCGGGGTCAAACATGGAGCTGTAGGGACATGCTCAGATGCCCGTGCAGACTGCCAGTGGAGGAGGAGTATTTCTGAGGAGAAGATCTCTGCAATGAACAAGACCAAGAGGTATTTAAACATCATCAGAGAGTGTGTTGCTGTCAGCCTGCAGCTCAGAGTTGTGTGTGCAGCCCTGAGGCTGTGTGTGAGGCGCACACTGTGGTTTTCTGCAGAGTTCAAAAGAAACAGGGCAGCTTGGTTTTATTTCCCGCGTTGACTGTACCTTTCTTTTCTTTTTTTCAAGTGTGTGCTTCAGAAAGGTTTAACACCCTTGACCTGAATACCCGTCAGACATGTCAACTTCTCAGATTATTTGTGTGTACTGCACACAAACCAGTCCTGACTTTCAACAGTTGTGCGTGCTTGTCTGTGGAAACGTGTTCTGCTTTTCTGTTTCACGTCGCCTCAGCGATGACTTTTGCATCTGATTTTGCCTTCAGTAACGTTTCGTTTGGCTTTCAGAGGGACTTTCGTCACATTTCTGTTTTCCCTTACTGCTGTAGTTGTGACCACGTCTTATCAGATTGACTGGAAGGAGTGTGTGTGTGTGTGTGTGTGTGTGTGTGTGTGTGTGTGTGTGTGTGTGTGTGTGTGTGTGTGTGTGTGCGCGCGGTACCTGAGTTTAAGGAAGACCAGCTGAGCGGCCTGTGATTCCCCCTCAGTGGAAAAGGTCATCTAGATGTAGAGAAGCAGAAAAGATTTGAAGCGAAGGATAAATAAACACGGGAGTGGGATTAAATCCCGGCGTTTCTCTCGTGTCAGATTTGAACTTGTGGCGCTTCGTTTCAGTTTCAGCGACTCTCAGCGCCTAAAATCCCCAAATTTAGCTCAACACTTGTAAAGATGCCCTTTTTGTGTTAAACCAGGTTGATTCTGACACCTTTAGTTGTAGATTTGTGGATGTCCATCTAATGATTGCAAGTTGAGACTGACAAAACATTATGACCCTTCTCCTGTCTTTCAGCAGCAGGGACAGCAAAAAGTTGTGATTTACTAAAACAGGGAGGTTCTCTTAGCAAAAGCATCTGTTTTATTGTTAAACCTTTGACTTTTGTGCACATAATCTACAAGTATTCAGTCACTATCTTGAATTGTTAATGCAGCGTTTGGACAAGTGGATGAATGAGCGGTTGCAGGAGATGTGTCTGCCTCGTGCACGAGGAGGGAAACGAGTGGAAAGCGGCACACAAACATGGCCTTCAGAGGGCCAAGGCATCAATTAATCAATTAAGGAAAGAAAGAGAGGAATTTGCATATCCCCCTGCCAGTGAGAGCGGGAGAGAAAGTGGAGAGGGGGGGGGGGGGGGGGGGGGGGGGGGGGCTCTGGATCTGCAGCCAGGATCCTGACAAGGATGGGAATGCTACCAAGAGGAGGGGATTTTTAAGACTTAAAAATTGCTTTTCTGTGTGAAGAAGGACGCGTGGAAAGTCTGACGGGCTTGTTTCATTGCTGTGCTTATTCTGACTTTTAAACACAAAGCCTAATTATTACCCAAGAGGCCTCATTTGCATGAAAAGGTGAATGCAAATGGTCAAACAGTAAGTCCTGTTGTGTGGAGATTTGCATGGCGCTCCAGCACACGGAGGCTGAATTTACCGACAGCAGCGCGTTTGTTCAAACCGTCGGGGTTGTTGCATAAAAGGCAGAGCTTCTCTGCTGCTCTGAGTGTGCGTTACACCGGCTGAGAGGGGAAATTCCCTCTCATCTGTGATGACATCAACAGCATGTTCCCATCAGCGATTCTGTGAAAGAGCGTCCTCGTAGGTGCAACCGCTTCGACAGCAGGTAGATTCACCCTGAAGTGAGGGGGTGGGGGTGAATCTGATCACCAGTCAGAACAGGAAGGCCTGACTGGACAAGAATCCAGATTCATTACCAGACTGCTTTAACCCTCACTGGCCTTTACGGGCAGCAAAAATGTACAAAAAAAATTCTTTCTTTTATTTTTGTTGTTTTTGGACGAGTTTTAACATTTTCATCTGAATTTTGGGTCTGAAACACAAAACTGGATGACATATGCTTGTTAAAAGTGTGGTTCACTGAAACCGATGAGTTTCTCATGCAGGCTGAACATGAGAATAGTCTCCTACACCTATCTCCTGCAGTAGCTTCTGACAGAAAACAGACGGTGAAACTCTAGGATTAGAAGATCCTGACAGATCTACGTCACCCTGTCACTAACATTCATGGACTCACCCGTCTGGACTCACGACGGGGAAGGCTGCTGTTGGTTTAGCGTCCAGGAAACAGCAGAGCACATCTCTGCTTGTAGAAGCTAATGTTAGCATTAGCTACTCCACCACACAGCAGAACTCCTCTAGGCGTGTGTTGACAAAACATCAACGTTACAGAGCAGACAGAGTCAGTGGTAGAGTCGTGTTGCTGTTAGCCAATCAGAGAAGAGATGTTGGAATATCAGGGAATAAGACTCCAGATCCTGCCGTTTCTCTCCTCCAGCAGAAAAAGGTGCTGCTGGATAGCCCCGCCCACCGAGTATGACTTACAAGGCATTCATTCCTACCTACCGGAGACCACTGCAGATCTGGTGAATAAACAAGCGTTACATTTTAACTGAATTAAAAATAAAAGAATAAATCAAAAACAATTTCATCTTGTGACATTTTATCATTTTTAAAACCAAGTTTATGGGGAATAATATGAAATTGTTGCCTGGTAGTGCAAATTTACAGGAGATGAAACATTATAGGACACCTTAAATAAAGGAACCTAAACTGATTCCATCTGGGGAAGCAGGTGGTGACTGTGGGAATAAAAAGCATCCTGTAACAGAGACGTTTCCTGTTGGACCAGTGAGTTACCAGCAGAGGGAGAAGAAATCTAAACTAGTGCCAATGACAACAGTTTCATTTCCTCACATGTAATGGATTTACCAAAACAATCCTGTGGTCAAACTTTTTATTTGCTGCATCCAGGGCGCACACGGGTCACGTAGCCTCCGCGAAGCGTCTGCAAATCGTGGTTCGCTGCAGTTCGCTGCTGTTGCAGTGGACGGGTGCGTTTCCACCGGCCGTGATGCGCTACTCTTTGAATGCATCCTAGAAGCGTAGGGACGTTCGTATCTATTTATCATGCGCTTCCAGACGGCGTCAACCGCTGCAGTTCAGATCGAGTCAGACAGGAAGTCAAACACAAAAACTGTGTAAAACACTGGAAACTGGAAAAAAAAAAAAAGAAATCATGTGCAGATCTCCAGTAAATATGTGTGAAACATCCGTAGTTAAACAGAAACAAACCACAGGCCTGCTGAAATCAGGCGTCGTCTCTCCAGGGATTTTGTGATATCGGTATCAAGAGTCTTCATCGACCCAACGGCCGTCGGGATCTCCTGCTGCCAAAACGCAAAAGATGGAGAATGTCTAATAAACAGATTTTAATAAAGCCCTCAGAAATTAATCCCAGGAAGAACGTCCACAGCTGTTACGGAGTCAACCTGATTCAAGATGGCCGCCGCAGCTAACTGAAATTAGCGAATGCTAAAACAGCTCTGACTGCGTCGGTTTAACAGAGAATCAGCTAAGATGTGACGTGTTTGTTGCTGAGAGTCACAGCAGAACGCCGCGGCTGCTCATAAACAACTTTATAACTAATAAAGCTCAAATCTGGAGGTGAAAAGACTGAAGAGCCACAAAGACTCGTGTGACTTTCACAACCACGGTGCTTTCTAAACTTCGTCTGTTTGTGTCGTCGGCTCTAAAGCCCTCGGGCAAAAGCTGCTGCAACAAACGTCTGAAACGTTGTTCTTCAACTTGTGGGTGAGGATGTGAACTGGGGATGAACCTTTTGTTTGGTTTTGGAGCTGAGGTGTTGTGGCAAAACAAGACCTGATTAATCGAGCACATGCAGTGTGATCAGCGGCACGCGCCGTGCTGTTTCTGAGTCAGGTGTGGAAGACTTCTGTCGCCCAGCAGGTTTGGAGGCCATCCACCTGCAGCTGGAGCCGCCGGGGGTCATCGGTGACATGGCTCCGGTGTGTGTTGTTATAACTGGATGGAGCGGCGGCCATAGGGGCGGCTGTTGGTATAAATAGATGAGTGAATGTCACCCTGAGCGGCACACGGACCAAAGCTGTCAGTTTTGGTGCAACTGGATCAAAGGTGTGTGCTGCTGGGTTGTACGTGTGTAAGTAGGCTGTGGAAATGGTTAGCACACACACACACACACACACACACACACACACACACACACACACACACTAAGAGAAGGGGATGTATGTCTGGTCATTCAGGGAACTTCTGTGTGAGTTCTCTGAAGCGGCAGCGTTTCTCGGTAATGTCATCACATCAGCTGCAGTAAGACGGCCGACTCGGTTTCACGCTGACACAATCCTCACCGTCCCTTCATCTGGACCGAACCCTCCACGTTCTGGTGCAGAACCAGGAGGGTTCAGAAGCTCACGCAGGCACACCTCCCGGTCTGCTTGTCTTTCACTTTCACCAACATTTGTCATTTGGCTGGAAGACGGCGACTTAAACCTTTTACCAAACACAAGACACAAGGCTCACATCAGAAGCTGCTATTGGGAAATGCAGACGGACATTGCTCAACGGCACCTCCATCCACAGAAGAAGCATAAATCTAATCATGGAATTAAAAACAAAAATGCTTGAGATCAGTGTGAAGCCTCTAAATAAATGATTAAGTTTATTACTTTATTTATTAGACCAACTGAGGAGGTACAGGAGCTGAGTGGAAGTTAATACAGGTGTTTAAACTTAGAACAACCTATAAAAGGAAGAAGAAATCTGGGTGTGAAAGCTCCAGTGATGTGCAGAAAGTAGGTTTAGACCAAACTGTCATTTCAGGAAATCTCTTTATTGCTTTTGTTTTTAATAATATAGTTTTTATCCCAATGAAATGAAGCATGTTTGGCCTTTTTCGTCTTTGATAAAGTCACTAAAACAAGGACGTGGAAGCTCAGAGTCCAAACAGACGATGATAAAGTCTGAGTTTGTGTGAAATCAGAAGAGAGCTCTCTGAACAGTCAGCTTTAGGTGGGGGAGACTCTGCTGCGTTTATCAGATGTGGTGAGCTGCATTTCCTCCAACGCTGACCCGCTCTGTTTCACCACAAGCTGCTCTACTTATTCATAGGCAGCAAACGCTCCGTCTGCCTCTCACTTTCTAACTTTGCTCTCCTATCTAGCAGGAAATCGAATCCGGACACAACCGGTGTGCTGAAGAGCAGGAAGCTGGTTCAGCGCAGGAGGAACACATGTCCCAGTCCTCAGGACATCAGCCGGGCCCTGCAGAGCCCCAGCTCTGCCCCCAGCGCCAGCGCCGCCAGCCTGGATGAGCTCATCCAGCGCTGCCTCAGCTGCTTTGGTTGGTATCTGCTTTTCTTCCTCATCCCAGTGCTTATGTAACTGAGGGATGAGGGAAAAGGAAGCAGGAATCCGGGGAGTGAAATACAAAGAGGGTCTCATACAATCCATTTTTGTTCTGCTGGGCAGCAGAAACGAGACGCTCTGCATACTCTCCTCCTCCATGCCTGGAACGAGAGCGGAGCTGTTCAGGGAGGTTGGATCTGAGCAGCAGAAGTAAAACGGGAGCAGAAACTTTTAGAAAGTAGATCAAAACAAAAATCTCAAAACTCAGTTTCCTACAAAAACAGAAAAACACAGAGAAAGCTGAAAGATCCCATTGTGTTCACATTTGTTTTATGGAAAAGATTGGGTCAAAAATAATATAGATTAATACAGATAATTAATATCTTACCTGCTGCAGGTAGGCAGCTCATAGAACAGCCTCAGTTTACAGAAACAGCTAAAACGGTTTGCCTTTAAAACTTTAAATAAATAAAAACATCTGATGGTTTATAATTATAATAATAATAATAATGATAATGATAGTAGTAATAATAATAATAATAATAATAATAATAATAAAGAAGTCAAGTATCTGGGAGTCATCATTGATGAAAAAATGTCCTGGAAGCTGCATATAAACAGTGTCAAAACTAAAATATCTAAAACTATTGCGCTATTAGAGCAAAATGGTTGCTTGATAATAATTCACTATATTTGTTATATAACTCACTGATCATACCGTACCTGAACTACTGCATTGAAATCTGGGGAACAACATATAAAACTTACACACATCTTACAGAAAAAAGCAATAAGAATAATCACAAGGAGCAACTACAGAGACCCGTCCAATCCATTATTTATAAAATTAAAAACACTAAAATTCTACGATCTGGTGGACTAGAATATTTTAAAATGTATGTGTAATGCAAACAAAAGGAACGTACCTGCAGGTTTAATTAAAAGATTTACAAAAAGGCATAGTAAATATGATTTAGAAGGACATGAATTATTTAAAATACCTAGACATCGGATACTCATAAAGGAACATTGTGTCTCCATATATGGAGTTAAATTGTGGAATAAATTAAATACTGAAATCAAGAATGCAAAAACAATATTGACTTTCAAAAAAGAGATAAAAATGAAATGATTAACTTATATAGATCTGTTACATAAATTATATAGATCCGTTACATAAACGCGTGAGGGGAGGGGGTTGGGGGGGTGAAAGAAAAAAAAAAAAGGAACAAGCCTATGTATGCATATGTGTATATATGTATGTATATATGTGTATATATGTATGTATATATGTATATATATATATTTATGTATATATGTGTATATATGTATGTATATATGTATATATATATATATATATATATGTATGTATATATGTGTATATATGTATGTATATATATATGTATATATGTATGTATATATGTGTATATATGTATGTATATATATATATATATGTATGTATATATGTATGTATTTATGTGTATATATGTATATATATATGTATGCATATATGTGTATATATGTATGTATATATGTGTATATATGTATGTATATATGTATGTATATATGTGTATATATATATATGTATGTATATATGTGTATATATGTATGTATATATGTGTATATATGTGTATATATGTATGTATGTATGTGTATATATGTATGTATATATGTATGTATATATGTGTATATATGTATGT